GTTTGGTCTAAAAGATTGTCCTTAAAAATCCTGTTTGGGGAAGAATGACCCCATTTAGTACCATTTGGTAGCAGAGATATGAAAAACATTACAGCAGCTGCTTCTGCTTCGACAGAATATAAAGTAGATGCACAGAAGCACTTGAGGAGGTAACAGGAGCAGTGAGAAGAACGTTGAGCTTAAGAGATACGGCCTCTAGTTCTGCCTGTGTCCTGTGCACGATCTTGGACATATCTTGTGGTGTCTCTGACTCTTATCTACCAGTATGTTACATAAACTGGCTGGACTTAACGATGTATCAGCTCCCTCCTAGTTCTAAATAATTTTCTAGTGGTGTGTAATCATACATAATCATGTATCAAATTAATTAGGACACTTTTGTGTGACTTACAAAATGTGTTTCCAAACTACTTTAATATTTATAATCTAATTTTTAACCCTCTCACAAACCTGTGAGATAGAAAGGGTAAATATTTTTGTTCCACTTGACATATTAGGAAACTTAGGCAAATAGAGATTAAGTTAATGGCAGAGTCTAGGTCTCTTGACTCTCATTTCTGAGCTCCTACACTAAATTAAACTGGATTAGTCTTTTGGGATAAGTGTGAAAGGGTATGCAACTGGATTCTTTATGAAAAAAATAACTTGATAAATTATATTAAATTACTACAGGAGTAGATATAAAACAAAGTTCTATTTCCCTTGTTGAGAATTTGCCTTTGAATCCCACTGTGAAATGGATTAGAATGTTTTGTTAGGATGTAAGCAATATACAAACCCAGAAAAGGTACATCTCATATTCTTTTAAATAGATAATTTCTCTTGGGACTTCTTTACATTCTGAAAATTCACTTTATTATTACATTCTAAGGTTTGTGGCTTTAAATGCCACAGCATATGAGTCTAACTTTTATTGGTGATATTTGTGGTTATCACTTTCTACTGTCATCTTCTCCCATTTCCTTTGTTTTGTTCCATAGACACGATTTGATTTATGAATGAGGGCTTTTTGATTCTTCAAGATATATTTTGGTGAATTGGTTCAATAACTTGTTATTGAAAAGCAAATCCATCAGGGACATATTTGCCTACTTCCTCTAAAGAGAAATCTCTTTTAGAAACCAACTTTTTACTCATCAGTCATGCCACATTTCTGTGTTTTATGAGAACATATCCATGTTTTCTGATTGTTCAGTGTATGTCCATAAGAAGTACTCATCCTAAAAAGCAAGCTTCAAATTTTTTCTAATATTTGAAAATTAAACACATGTCTTAATCTGTAAGGCAATATGCATAATATAATCCTGATTCAGAAGGGCTTTGCTTTTGATGTAGATACAGAATAAGTTGGTATGCTGGATTGAAAGAATCCATAAGAATGAGAAAGGAGTTCAAATTTAGAGATTCCTTTTTTTCCTCTCTCTCTCTCTCTCTCTCTCTCTCTGAGTTTATTGGTACATTTTAGGTATACAGTACAGTTACATTCATCATTGAGATCTTATACATTTACATGGCAGGTCTTGTTTCTCATTTTTCCCCTTGTCCCTGCCCTTCCTTCATTCCTTTTTATGTCACAACGTTGGTGATTTCATTTCTCAGCCAAGTCCTGTCTCCTCTTTCCAATGAGTATTTGTAATGAAACTTTGGAGCCCATACACTTGACCTTGAGAGTTACCTCTGAGGCATTATTTAGGCCAAACTCTGATTGCATGGAATCTAATGTTTTACTTACCTGTAATAGTTTTTAGTTCATTTATCTGACTATCAAGGCTTAGTGTGTCAAACACGGTGACTTGCAGTGAAGAACTGCTGCACCCTCTACAACTGCTTCACTCTTCAACCACACATTTATCACTGGATGCCTTTTTGTTATGTTTTAATTTCAGAAATGGACATTTTTCTGTTTCTTCTTGGCACTAACATAGAAGATTCAATGAGACAAAGGAAAATTTTTGTATTCTGTCTGCTTTATACATTTTTCATATCCAGTTGGACTCTTCCATGTGGTAGACATACAATATTACCTTTTCTCTCCAAGAATATAGTTTTATGCAGCTGTTTTGTTTTCTACCAAGGTATTTGGCATCTGTATTCCCAGCCAACTTTCTACCAGAAGCATCTGATCAGCTTTGAAAAATACAATCTTGAGTCCATAGGTTGAGGTTAGACTTTGGGATGTGTTTTTCCAAAGCTGTGTCAGTGAGTCTGGTGATCCGCCAGGTTTGGGAACCACTACTCCAAAGCATGTGCATCCAAGACCTCAAGACAACCTTGAAGCTGGATGGTCTGCTAGCTGGAGTCATGGGACTCAGGATATAGTTATACATATAGCTATGATTCATTGCAGTGAAAGGATCCACAACAAAATCAGAAAAAGGAAGAGGAATATGGGGTGAAGTTCAGAGGAAATAAGAGCATGAGTTTCCAAGAGTTTTCTTCCTGCAGAGTCACCGATTATGTACTTAGTTTTTGCAACACAGGACAACATGTATGAATTGATGTCTGCCAGGAAGCTCACTAGAACTCAGTGCCCAAGATTTTATTGAGGGATAGTCACATAGGCACTCTCCACAAACAAATTACCAAAATTCCAGGCTCTCAGAAGGAAAGCTGATATTCAATATAAACCACTTTGTTTGTCCATCTAATTTAGGCACCTTAAGCCACTCATCAGTTCAGGAATGTTGGGAACCTTCCCCAAATCCAAGTTCTCAGATGGGCCAAATTTACAAAATGGCTGTGGCTGGCAGTCTCCAACTGCTATTATCTTTTTTCCTACACAATTCTATATAAAAGGTAAAATATAACCTTTTAGCTTCAAAGTAAGTTAACTATGTTTATTGTGTAGGAAGAAAAACTTCTGGATGAATATGGAGATTTAAGTGATGAAATGTAAAATCCTATTTCTTGATCTTAACAGTAGAATACACCTGGCCTTACTTGAGTAAAAGCATGCTCTGAATAAAGGATATGAACCACTCAACTCTCCAAGACCTTTTGGCAGTTGGTACTAGTCTTCACTTAGAGCAGTGCCTTGCCTGCAAATTCCTATATCTTCAAAGATCACAGAGACATTGGACAAACATGTAATTATTAACTTACTTTTAATATTCTGTTCCCTTTTCCAGTTTTCCAAGTGTAATTTGTTTTCCTCTAATTTCTGGAAAGGCATGATTAAAAGTAATAAAATTGGAAGGTTAAGAAATGTAGCACATCCAAGCCATTGAAAGTTGTGGATCACATGATTCTATTTCAAGTCCCCAAGAAGAAGTGATCATTTTGATGCTAAACTTCTCTTGCCACTGGGAATATTCTTAAGCATTCATTTTTATGTTATCCATACTTTTACAGTACTTTAACCTTCTGTATCCAGTGGCATCTCCTTGAATCTAAAACCTCCGAAGCTTACCTGGTAGAATGGAGTCATCTGTTTCTAGGCACACAGATGGTAAAATCAAAAGGAAGAGAGTCCATGGGAAATTTCCAGATGGAGGACCTGAAAATTTCTTTACTTAATGTGTATGTTTTCTTTGTTCTGAACAATTAGACTTTTTCCCAACTTCATTTATGCCTCTTTACATTTACTCAGGTCACTGATTCAGGTGAATAGATGAATAGTGAGATAGCATGTTCTTTGTACAAAATCTTTCTTTTTTATGTAAAACTTTTTTTTTTTTTTTTTTTTTGGTACCAGGGATTGAACTCAGAACCTTTTCACTTGTGAGGCAGGCGGTAGCACCACTAAGCTAAATCCCCAGCCCCCACAAAATCTTTCTTGAACCTAATAATGATGATCATTATTTCTTAGCCCTCCTTCTCTAGGTGCAAAGCCTCCTTATCAGAGGTTTCCATTGTCTTACTCATCTCTTTCATTTCTCACTCTTTTCCTTTTTCTGTTTATCTTTCTTAAATTGGTCTGGATATTCTTCAAAATAGGTCTCAATAATTTTTCAGCCCAAATATATTACATTCTCTTACATATCTAAACTCCTTACAAAATATAAATTATATATATAATTATATATTTTTTAAATTGTATATTTTAAATTATATTTTTAAAATAAAAAATAGATAAAACAAGTACTTAATTTGATCTTTCTTAAGTCAATGATGTGATATGAATTACATTGATAATTATTAGAGTGTGATTCTCTGTATGCTGAGTAAATTTTTAAAATGTATGTTTTTAAAAGCAAGGATCTTTGCCAGTAAATGTATCATGGAGAGACAAAAATTAAATTTGACACAGTAGTTGAGAAGAATGTCTCTACCTCTGTAAAAATAATATACAGCATTGAGAAAGGACCATGTTTTGATCCTGGATCAAAACACATCCCTGTATATACATTACTATATTTGCCGGGCATTAAAAGTCCACACAGTACTCTTTTTCAATGGTATTTTCCTGCATTGCCTACTCATTCTTGGTTTTTAGTCAACTATAATCTCAAGCTTTTTTGTGCTATGCTCATTTTCTGTCTCTTACATTTGAAATGAAAGTTTAGTTATTTACTTGTTGAATGACTTCTTATATTTATGTAATTCCCTACATTGAGAGTATTGCTATTCTGAATACCAAGGTAATTAAAATTATATTTCTATTAATTAGAAAATTCTTAATCTCCATCTAGTTTTGTGTCTTTGGAAAATTCAGTGGGGTTATATGTTCAACCAAGAAACAAATATTTTGAATTAAATTAGTCCTGAGATATCTAGGTAGGTAGGACATGTGGGACAAATCTAGAATATTTAGTAGTTTTTACTGAATATTTAGGAGTTTTTACTGAGAACTGTAATATTGTAGTAGCCTGCATAAAGGGCAGAGAGATAAAGATTGTTTTCTCTTAAAAGCATATTCTCAAACTATAACACAAAAAGCATAAAAATATATATAAAAGCATATATTCACAAAAAACAAAACAGAATTCCATAATAATACAAAAGGTTTAGAAGAGAATCTGTTATATTTTTTGACATTAACAGACCCAGTTATGTAACTGCAAGGCAGTGCAGAGATATCAAAGAGAAACATCTCCTGTGTCTTTTGCATTTACTATTTCCTGTGTAGGAAATGAGTGAATGTGTGTGTGTGCATGTGAGCACACTATCTGGGATGAAGGAAACCTGAGATGGAGAACTTTGCACAAAATGTGTACTTTTCCAAACAAGATATTATTATATAGTACATAGATGATCACTTGATATATTGGATAGCTAATATGGTGTATTTATTTCACAGTTTTATATCTTTATAGTTATCTGTATATAATAGTTTAAACAAATCTTCATAACATATATATTTCTTAAGCTTTTTTAAAAATCACAAATTAATTCAACCATTCAACCACATTCTACCTCTTTTAGTCCCACTTCCCATTAGAAACATTGCGTTAAAAGATCAAGTGATCAAACCCATAGAAACTGAATTGTGATAAACATAATGCCAGAAGAACAAGAACCTAAGGATATAGGAATTCAAGGAAAAGAAATGATTTTTGAAGCTGCAGCTTACTTCTGAAAAGAAGGGTAAACCTTTCCTTTATTAGAAAAGGAAAGAAAGAATTGAAGTGAGTGAGATTCTTTAAAATAATTGCGGCTAAAGTGGAAGCCTTTCCTGGCACACTCACATGGTGCTTTTTGGCTGAGGTTGGCTGTGAAGCAGAGGGACAGCCGCACTTGTATTAGAGTGAGACTGCTGGACTTAGAGAAGGCGGCTCTTGGACAACCTGTGCATAGATTCTGCAACATGTCCCACTGTTATTCAGAACAATAGGACTCAGGGCCAGTATTCTCCTCCGCATGCAAGATGAGCCATTCATAGTCCAGTTAGAAGGATTGAGCATCTGAGCAAGCCCAAATCTACTTAAGCCACTTTTACCTGGGAACTGCAGCTCATTCTCTTATAAGTATCACTTCTGATCATTAGGGTACAGGATTAAAGCTACTTTTTGAAGGATGCAGGGAATTTGCTGCTGGTGAAATGTTTCTCCATGTTAGAGTATCAGAAATGACAAAATAACAGAGGACTCTCTGACTGTGTCCAGCTGGTATTTTTAGTACCTCACCAGTATGTGAGTAAAGGTAGCTAGAAAATGAATGTGATCCAGTAAGTCTCCACGGCAATAATCCATATTAAGACTCCTAGAATAAGTGAAAAAATGTCTTCCATTTCCATTCCTGATATGGGAAAAGGATTTTGCGCTGCTTACTACTGATGTGCACATAATAGCAAAAGAAATAAAGCCCCAGAGTCCTTCCAGTCTTGGGAATCTATTATACATTAGAAACAAGGGATTTATGTTTTAGAGTGATTATTGATCCCCTAACTTTTTATTCATTTACATTTGATTTTTCAATGATAGGACTGATTGGAATTTGAGGATAATTTTGCTTTGGTATTAAATAATGCTCCCTATTAAAAACTCATCGTTGTATTGAGCTGAGTGCCAGTGAACTGACACAGGCACAATCCCATTTTAATCAAAAACAAAAACTAGAAAATGTTGCTCCCAAAATAGGCAATAATGAATATTATAAGCACTGAAGAGTTTCAGTAAATAATTTGTGTGACTATGTTGAGTGGTTCCTGTATGATTTAGAAATAATGTTCTCCTCTCATGTTTTATGTGAGGTAAATGCAAAACAGGGAGCCACTGAGCAAACAGTCAACCTGAGTAGGTTTGTAACCCTGGGATGAGGATGTCCTTCATAAAGGTGAAAGAGGAATGGGCTGATGCTCCTATTACAAAACCCTGCAATGCCAGGACTTCTACACAACTTCGATCTCTAATGGTTGCAAGTTCATTCTTTGTGGAAAATACTTAGATGTCATTTTAGCCACTTCTAGCACCATTGGGTTGTACTGTACATTTTACCTAAAATACAATTTACATCATTACCTTGTTGTGCTGAAGATCAATGACACACAAAAATCCAACATCATTTCAAAAATACATGTAGTATGACCAGTAAAATACATTGGCTAACATAAAAATCAAAGGAAACAGGAGTTTGGAATATCGATCAACATTGCTGGGGTTTTGAATCGTGAAGTAGTCAACAATCCTGCCCATCTTTTCTCTGAAGACAAACTTGAACTTGTCACTAGTTTTCATTGTCAGGTCGCTATAGTTGACATTATCACTGGAAATTTCAATGGTGGCAAAGCTGATCTTCCGTTTAAAGCTGGAGATGGAGCTGTTGATGATGTTTGCAATGTTGACTTCTTCTGCTTCTTTCATTTTCCCCTAGTCCATAGATAATATAGTTATCTTAGAAGACCTGACTTAGCAGAATAAATAATTATGCAATGAGTTAATGAAAAGTTTAGAGGGCTAAGCATTGAATAATTAGGCTTAATTAAGTTGGTACTGGGAGTCTCAAGAACAGCCTTGTCAGCTAGACTTAGAGTCTTGTTATCTTGTTTGTAGGCACCAATCTGTAAGGCACTAGCATGTATGATGGGGAGAATAACCACCACCTTCCCTAGATATGCAGAACAGTGTGCTAAATATTAAGTGCTCAGGTTCTGAAGTTGGCTTTAATCCCATCTGGTCTCACTTTTGTGAAACTTGTCACCTTAATCCTTTTAAAATTTGATTTCCTTGCCTGCAAAATGGTGATGATATTAATACCCACCTCATGAAACTGATGGAAGAGTAAGTGATATAAATTATATAAAGCATCTAGTAGGTATTTGGTGAAGTTCTATTCTGTTCCAGTGAGGGAAGTAACTGATTATGAGAGATGATAGAAATCAGCTGTATCTTGAGATCTTTGCCTCACAAATAGGCATAGGAATGTCCCCTGAAATTCTAGGGAGTTGCCATTCTTCAACGTGATGGAGGTGACAGAATATGGAAAGTGTGAAAAAGTTGGAAAGAATGTGGTTTGGATTTTTGGCCAGGCTATTTACTAGGAATAGGTTGTTGGATGAATGATCTCACTTCTCTGAATGGCAGATTTCTTAATAGTAAAGTGAAGATAATAACTGTACCCATTTCATTCTGTTGTTGGGTGAACTAAAAGAGATATTGGTAGGTATTTAGCAAATACTCCACAGTCCACCAACTGTTCTATACACATCAAGATAAGAGCTTCTTGGAATCTTCAGCAGAGAATCTTACTGGTTCTCCAAATCCCCTTTTGCCAATCTCGCAAATATAGATTTGGGGTGTAATTAAACTTCCTTCTTCTCCCAAGGGAGCTTATAGGGCATAAATAAATAAAATCTATATTCTTCTTCAGCTGTTACACATGTTCATATGCCTTTGATGCTTAGGTAATAAGACTGTGAAACATTGTTCACAGTAACCAAACAGAAGGGAAAAAGCAACTGGCTTTTTGGACTATTCTGATTCCTCATTTCCTAACTATAAGACCCAGTAAGGTCCCAGCACATTGCTAAAACTGGGAACCTAGTCTGCATTAGGTCTCTATATTTTTTTTGCTTGCTAGCTTGAGCTTTATTTAGCATGCTGGTATCTATCAAATTTGGCTTGCAAATAACCCTAGGGTTCTATAGGGGTATAAAGAGTAATAGTTAAGGGAATTGGTCCCTATAAGAGAGAATGAAGTGTCACGGAGCCAAGAAGTTTTAGATTGAAATCCCAGCTATATCTCTTAATATATGTCTCTCTAGGATAAGTTACTTACGCTTCTTGTTCTCCAAATTCTACAGTTGTAAAAATGGAGATAACAACCTCACTGGATTGTGATGAGCATTTAAAATGGATATAATATTGGCAAAAGACTTGTTACTGTGTCTGGTTCATATAAATGCTCAATAAATGATAATCATTATTTTATTCAAAGAGCCGGACCATGGCGCTTAAATAATGAGTCTCCTAACAAGCAAAGAAATGTGCTAGTCAAGAAACTTCACACAATTTAATTTCTTCACATAGTTTTTGGTAAATAACTACTTTATAATAAAGGATATACAAAATGTAACAAAAGAAATAAGAATTACATATTGATCTGAAACTTGTAATAAGCTGATCATGTTTGATTTGATATTGGATTTTTCATGGATACTTCTTGTGGTTATACTTTTTTGTAGATAACAGTTATTTTCTGCCAGAAAATTAAATGTATTAATTTTCATTGTATTTGGTGAAAAGAATTGTTTTTTTCAAGGGGTACCATGGCTTTCAGATGCGCTCATCTGAACCAAGACAGACTCACTGGAACAAAGTGAATCACTGGGGAACAGCAACCACATTCAGCACCTAGCACAAGGGATGGATGACAGACAGGGGCCTCAAAAATTCTTACCCTATCTTTGGCTGCCATCTGCTGTAAGGAGCTGTAGTGAGCAACTGCGTATTCCAGTAAGGCCCCAAACACGAAGCTAAAGCAGATCCCCAGGTACACATCAATGGCTTTTATGAAGCAGTTGGTGTTGGGAAGAGATGTGCGGGACCCAATCATCAGTGTAGTCATTGATAACACAGTGGTCACTCCTGGGAAGACAGGAGGGAAACATTTGCATACTAGTGGCCAGTTAAGCCTTCTCTATTACCTGGCAAAGTTTCTTCATTCAGAAGTTAACAAGGTGAGGACAGGACTCAGAGATGGAAAAAATCTCTCATTTTGAAAAATCATTGTCCTTCTGGGACAAGATTGATTTGTCCATTTTGTATAGATATGAGTGATGTAGTTTTCTAAATGTTTCTCCTTCTATCTTCTCCACAGAGAAGTGGTCAAGAGAAGAAACAATAGACAATGAACAATACAGTCAAAATTCTCCTTTATGTGCCACAGTAAAACAAAGTTTAAAAATGCATTACTCATAAGTAGTCTCTCTTTCTCGCTCTATAGAAGAATCTCTCAAGAAACTAACTCTTGGAACCCTTCTAGTGGTATCATTGAAAACAGTGGTATAAAGAAAAGAAAAAAGTAATCCAGATCTTAAAAACTGCATATTTTAGCTGCTTACCAATGCAGGTTCTTGCAGGAACTGAGTCAAGGGAGATCCAAAATGAAATCCAGGATAACACCACCAGGAAAGTGGAAGGAACATAGGTTTCCAAAATGAAATACAGGACATTCCTCCGAAGCTCAAATTGCAAGACCAATCGTGTATAATTTCCTGATAGGGTACACAAGAAATATGAAATCATGTCTGTTCATGCAGTCGAATTTTCCTTATGAGATGTTTAACTGTAGAATATTCATATTAAACCCTCTGTTATTCCTCCAAAATTTAGTTAAATAGGAACTGTCATTATGTTTCCACATATGACCTTGCTGTTATATAGAATGGGATTTACAGGGTACTGCCCTTCACCTGTGTTCTTCTTTGTATGCCTTTCTTTGTCATAAGAGTCACATAGCCTGGTAATCCACAGATTTCCTTGACATCTGCCTCACTAGACCGTGAGCCCTACCCATGGGGGCAAGCCTTGTGTCTTACAGTTCTATACTTTAAAAATAATCATTTAATAATATCTATTTAATGCAGATCACCTGAAACTCTTCACTTTTTACGATTAGTATAGAATGGACCTAATAGACATATTAAATATAGTTTAATTTTTGATGACAAGTATATCGGATTTTATAGTATTCAGGATTATCCTTAGGAAACTACCCATATATCCTAAATGTGGATAAGCCATAGGGACCTACTATTAATATAATTCTGTGTGACATATAGGCTACTATAGCACAAAATATGTGCCATGGATTCAAGTACCAAGCTCTTCTCCCACACTGCTTCTGTGAGGGGGATGTGAGGTGATAGCAGACAGAGTAGTAATGGCCCCTGTCAGGCTGGGTGCAGTGGCAAAGGGGAGCAGAAGCCTGGCTCAAAGGAGAGTAGATGGAGCAGTAATATCAATAAATATCTACAGAAAGAAACACTTCTGGAGAAATATAAAAATATGTAATTTTAGGGCTTGATGGGACTCCATCCAATATTTTACTTTATTGGTGAAGAAATGGAGACAAATTTTTAGTGACTTGAAGAAAGACCTATAGTTGATTTTAGAGGCAAGATTTAAAAGCATATCTTTTGCTCTTTGATCCAGAAATGTTTTACTGGTCTGTACTCTCTGCTTTATTCCTTTGATTTTGAAAGTCAATTTAAAGCCAGGCATGGTGGCTTATGCTTATAATCTCAGAACTCAGGAGACTGAGGCAGAAGGATTGCTGTGAGTTCAAGGCCAGCCTAGCCTACATGGTGAGTTGAAGACCAGCCTGAACTACATAGACTCTGTCTCAAAACAAACAAACAAAACAACAAGCCCCCCCAAGGTCAATTTTGTACAAGATACTTAACTAATATTTGATTAAATAATGACTCTCTTTTGTACCTCCTGAAATTAAATAATTTGGAAATCTGAAGCCAATTTTTGGCACAAATCAAAATTGAGAATTCAGATTTGATAAATGATGACAACATAAACCCAATTTACAAACTTATTTTTTTTTTTTTAGTAAAGTAGGGCTGGGGGTTTAGCTCAGTGGCACCATGCCTTCCTGAGTTTGATCCCTGGTGCCAAAAAAAAAAAGTATATTCATTCATCCATCCATTATAAAAGTAATAAACACTAATTACTTAAGTTTGGGAAAATAACAAAAGAGAAACAACTTGTTCCTTCTAACTATGTAGAGGTAAATAGTTCCAGGCTTCGGAGCTGTCCTGGAGGTCTGCTCTTTGGTGGACCATTGCTGTAGCTGTGGCGTAGGCAGAAGGACAGACCCAGACCCTACTCTCTACTCCACACCAATGAGGAGCTGTTGGACCCCAAAAAGGTCAAGTGAAGAGATTTCTGACTCAGAATGTGACCCTATACCCTGGTTTAGTTACTTTTATTTTGTACAATTTGTCACACAGTTACCTGTCTCTTGCTGTGACCTGGTGACTAAGGTGAAATAGCGTTGTATGGTGTATTGTGCAAGTCGCAGATTTTCCAGCCCACGCACAGAGTCATTCCCTCGCAGCCAGATGAACTCCACATCATTTCCATCATACCCCCCTGAAAAACGCAACACTTCCCTGGTCAGTGCAAGGATGTTACAGATTGAATTGTTCAGAAAAATGCTACAGTGTGGATGTAGTATGAGCTCCATCCTGATAATACTAAGTGCAAAGATGATTCCATGTAAAACTTGGCATGAAGTCTCAATGGCAATGTCTACACACAATGAAGTTGCCTGTCTGGCCCATTTGCCATCAATTGAGAAATAATCATATGCTAAACACTGTCTAAACCTGGTGGATGATAAACCCTAGAAGTGGCTTAGAGGTGCATATCCATGAACACACAAAGGCCTATGGCAGATAATCAGGGCAGTGTAAGCTTTGATGGAGTTTAGAACTGGTATCTCCACATTAGTGTAAGTAAAAAACCAAAACAAAAAAATCCTGCAGTCACTTTACTGACATCTGTCAAAATGCACATTTGATAAATCTCTAAGTAATTTTACTAATATAGTTGATAATAGTAATAATAGTAACCTTTTCTGAAACCTTTATGCTGTCCTTTACATGTTATGTCTTGCAAATTTGAAAGATAGACATTTCTGCATTTCTCCAAGTCTAGGATGGATAGTAAATCTTTTTTCTGAAATTGAGATGGATCTTACACTTTCTATAGACCTTGCATTTTTTCCTGAAACATGATTATTGAAAAAATACTGTACTTAGAATTGAAGAACTATAATATTTTCTCCATTTCATACATGAAAATGCTCAGATTTAGAGGGACTGCATGACTTCCTCAAGATAACAAGGCAAGTAAGAAACAAAGCTAGCACGGTACCTCAAGAAAGTTTAATCTCAAAGCCATGGATGATGATGAATAACAATTTTAATATCTATCATTTAGTAAGAAATTGCTTCCTGAGTGCTTTACAACATCATCTCATTTAATCCTCAACTATCTCTTTGAAAAGATATGTGCATGGTTAATAAGTACACAAAAAGATGTTCAACATCATTAGTCATTAGGAAAAGGCAAAGCAAAACCACAATAAGATACCACTTCACACTCCCCAGGATATCTGTAATAAAAAAGGTAGACAATAACTAATGGTGAGGACATGGAGAAGATAGAACTTTAAGGTGGGACTTTAAAACAGTACAGTCACATTGGAAAATAGCGTGGCAGCTTCTTACCAACTTAAACATAAATTTACCATTTGACCCAGAATTTCATACTCAAGTTTCTGTCCAAAAGAAAACCGTATCATACAAACACTTGTACATATTATATGTTCATAGTAGCATTATCCATAAAAGCCAAAATGTACTGATAGAGCAGTTGTTCATCAACTGATGAACACACACATACATGCACACACAGAAGCTCCTACAAAGGAATACTACATTGCAATAAAAAGGAATGAAGTACTGTTAATAGGTTGCACTTGAAAAATGTTTTGCTAAGTGGAAAAGCTAGATGCAAAAAGGCTACATCTTGTATTGATTTCAGTTACATGAAATATCCAGAAGTGACAAATACAGACAATTTTAGCTTAGTGGTGCCTGTGAGCTGGTGGTGGGAAAGGGGGGTGACTACAAATAGGCATGAGGGGTTTCTTTGGGATGATGGGAGTGTTACAGCAATGCAGCATGGCAATGATTGCACTACTCAGTATATTTACTAAAACTCTTTGAAGTGTATACTTACAATGGGTGAATTTTGTGATATATAAGTCATACCTCAATAACCTGTTTCAAAAACAACTCATTGAGCCAGATTCTGTTACTTTTCCCATTTCACTGATAAGAAAACTGAGGTCCAGATAGATTAGTTATCCAAGATCATACAGTTACGATTGGGTAACAGTACATATGATATTAAATACAAAAATATACTTCTATTTTCAATGGCTAGTGAGAAGCATGTCATATTGAGACTAATATTTTTTTCAGTATCAGCCTCAGTCTGTGGTAGCAAAAGTCAAGTAGGGGTTATCTTCCCTCTTTATAAAGCAGAAACTGTGAGAGGGTTTTCAGGTAAAAATTGTGGGCTTTCCTTTCCTTTGGAAGTATGCAAGAATATAAGAAGCTAGCTGTCTAAATTGGGCTAGGATCTCAAATAAATGAAGAATCTTTATAAAAATAAAGAATACATGTTCCTATTTGGACACTTTGCTTTTACAACTAGTAAAGACTCACAATTGTTACATTATTAACCTCTGTCCCTGAATGAATATAGAATTGTGGGAAGGGATCAGTTCTTTTTTAGAGATGGCATGTAGAAAAACCCTTAGTGAAGTTTCTGTACCCAAATATCTGCTAATAAACATTCGATGAAAGCTTTTTCTGCTCATTTGGGATGGTATTTGTGCAAGCAGAGTGCTGAAGTTTCCAGGAGAATCTTGCTCCTGGGATTTGAGTTGAGCCCAGCCACAACACATGGAGGGCAATTACTTTTTTCATGTGGGATTCAACTGAGTTCTCTTTTTGATAATCCCAACTTTTATTTATTTATTTTTTTTTGGTACCGGGGATTGAACTCGGGGCCTTGCACTTGCAAGGCAGGCCACTGAACCGCTGAGCTAAATCTCCAGCGATAATCCCAATTTTTATTCTCCCACCAAATAGCTGCATTACTTCAAGAAGGTTCTGCATGCATTTAATCAATGGATAATTAATCTTTCTGAGTCTTTAATTAAATGCCTACTTCTGAAAAATGGTTTCTGCCTAATAATACCATGCTTTTCTAATGTTGTTTACTTGTGTCCTTACATACAGAGTGCCACTGTCTCCAGAGCTTGACTATGCCCCCCTCGACAAACCATGCTTTGATATCTTAATAATTTATATCTATGGTATTATTTTCTTATCACAGGTGCCTGACTATAATGGACATTGCAGGGTGGTTTAGTAAGGAACAATGGAGATTATTTAATAGTGGTAGAGAATTAATTGACACACATCAATTTAGAGTAAATCTTAATCCCACATCATAAAGTGTCCATATACTGGCATTCGTTTACTAAATTATGTTGTATCAAGTAACTTCTTTTAAGGGTTGGAAGCAGTTGTGTGATGACAATGATTACTTTGTACACCACCTTCCCAATGGTTTTTGTAGCGCTAGAGATTGAATCCAAGGCCTTGCATGTGCTAGACAAGTGCTCTACCGCTGAGCTACATTCTCACAGCCTCTATTGGTCTTTTCTGTTATCTACTATGTTTCTTCTTGCTCCTGTGCCTTAGCCAATTATGTCCTACTTCTTGTCCCCTTAGCCAACTTGAACTGATCTCTCACGTCTGATTTCTTTCTTTTTTTTCTTTTTGGTTGGTACCAGGGATCAAACTTGGTACATTGTGCTTGCGAGGCAGGCGGCAGAACCACTGAGCTAAATCCCTGGCCCGCTCATGTCTGATTTCAAGTGATACTTCCTTTAGGAAACCTTTGACTTCCCTAAGCTTCCATAGTGCCATTACTTTTTAAAGTTACTATTTATTCTTTCATAATTATTTAAGTCCTGTACCCTGTATGGGAGGTTAGACTTCTTGATGACTGACACATCATCTTTACCTTTGTGTTGCAAACATCTTCCACAGTGTCCAACACAAAGCAGTCACCTAGTTGTTATATAGGTAAATTGAATGCAGGTAGAGGGGGTGGACAGATGGAACTCAACTACCCACTCATTTGCTGGAGCCTCCAGTGGGAAAATATGTAGAACCAACCTCTAAAGGCTAAAGAATGAGTCAAAATATTTTCCTTAGGATGTAAAGGGAAGGAAAAACATTGGCCTTGATCCTAAGTAAGGGAAAAGAACTGGCATGAGAGTATGTGTGTAAAAATCACATTGTGATTCAGTTTGACATTCTGGCAGGATTTAGAGAATTCAAAACAAGCATCACGTGGTTCCTCAATTTGGTGAAAAATTATGATAACAAATGAGCACTAGAGAAACTGAAAAGGAGTTATTAAAAGCTTTTCATTATCCTTGTATTACTCTTTAAAATCTCTTTATAGCATACTCAGAAAAAAAACATACAGCTCAGAACACAAATAAGACACTGAAACAAAATTGATGTGTGACTCTCTGGTCCAGTGGAAGAGCTGAATTAGGGGATCTTCAAACTTTGTACTACTTTATCTGGATTCCAGTCTCAATGTTGCTATTTACTTTCTGGGTCCCTTTGGGAAAGTGTTAAATAAGTTATTTGAGCATCAATTTTTAAAACCATAACTTATCTCAGAATTGTTTGGATTATCCAGTGGAGTGGCTATCATGGGCTATAATCTTAAAAATAAGGTGAGTGTTCATGTTAAAAAATTATATTACAGTAAAAGACATTGCCATTAATGCCCGTCAAAATAGCCTTTCTCACCTCAAGCACATTTATTCAGTAAGTCTCACCATTTTCAGAAGCAGTTCTGCAAGTTCTTTTTAGTAAATATTTCAATTATGCTGTGATAGCTACCTTGATATCCTAAATTGATTCAAAATGTTTACCTTTCATGGTCATTTTGACTTTAGGAAAGAACCAGAAGTCACATGGTGCCAGATATGGTAAATAAGATGAAGACACACTGTCATGTTTTTATGAGCCTGTCTTTCCATTGGACGGCACTCAGCAGCCATATTTACCCTACTTTTTAATCATACCTTATAAAAAAACTCACAAAAGAAGTCTTCCAGAACTGCTCCAGAAGGTAGCAAGGACAATGAGATAAGTGTGTTAAAAGAGAGGGGACATATTTTGAGGGCAGTTAATGGCAGTATGTCTTTTCACTGTAACAAGTTTTTTAAAAATTTAAACATTCATTGTAATTTTCAATCTCCTCAGGTGATTTAAAATTTTTTTTTAATTTTAGTAAGCAACTGGTACATGGACGCCATAGTATTTACAGGAAAAGAATATATGTTGTTGTTGCCATTGTCATTGTAGCTAATAATGGAAAAAAATCATTTGGTCAAGAAGACCAGAGCTACAACAAATTGATGGTATAATACATTTTATTATACTATTAGAAGTTTTTCCCTACTAGCTTCCTACTTCCTCTGTAGTTGACTTTTCCCTACAACCACAGTGCTTTTGTACTAGAAAAAAGAAAAAAGCTTTTGAGGGCTTTCTAGAACTCATAGGGTAGGCCTGGGTATGTTCACTGACAAATGGAAAGGGCATTGATGAAAGGTCCTTGACCTCTTTATAAGCTTTTGTGAGGACCCATGTTAATTTGATTTTGGTAGAGCAGGAGTAGGTGGGTAAAGATTCATACATCTTCATAGATTCATGAATAACTCACCTGAAATCACAGACCCTTTGAGGATTAGTAGCCAGATAGATGGCATAAATAAAATATTACAAGTTTAAGTATCAGATGCTAGTTTAGATCCATTTTCATCAAGATGTTTTTCTATAAAATAGAAATACTCATGAAACAAGATTTCATGTTACATATGTTTGGGAAATGCTATCATTCCTTCTTGGAAATTCACTTGGAATTAGCTTATTAAAACCTCTTCAGCAAATAAGAATGTTAATATTTTAGGTTTTGTGGGCCATAAAGTCTCTGTCACTCAACTCTGCTATTACAGTGTTGCAGCAGTCATTGGCAGTATATAAATCAGTGGGTATTACTGTGCTCCAGTAAAACTTCATTCATAGAAACAGGTGATGGGCTGGATTTGGCACGGGTATGGTTTGCTGACCCACGGACTATACCGTTAACTATTTTTAATCATTTCCTTTGGTTGTCTTATCTGCTTACAGATGGGTATATTTGATACTAATGCACAACGGGCCTCCCCCAAAGGTCTAATATTAGAGGAGTTTTTTCAAGAAAAATCTAAATTTGTGTGTAAGTACAGTCAGAAGGGCTGAACCCATTGTGAATTAATATTTAAAAAGGATAATCACTAAGCATGGAATAATCTGTGAATACATAGATCCAAGTCACTCAGGAAATCACCTCTAGGAACCTGTAGGACATATACTCACAGCTCTCCAGCTGCAACTTGCATGTCTGTGTGTCCATGGGGTATTTGGACAGATCCATGTTACATGCAACTGTTGTTGTGATTCTAAGAAAAGAAAAAATGTGCTCAGAAAGGCTCTTACAAGAACACTATAAAAAGTATATATCCCCTCCCAAGGACCACTTCAAAAAGATTTTCACTTGAACTCTTACAAGAAATATGTGGCTTAGAGCCCAGATTCAAAGCATTTTTGAGGTTTTCTATGCTCAACAAACCACTGAGGCTCAGTTAAGCTGGATCCAGAGTGAAGGAAATGGGAACCCTGGCAACTCAGAGGCAAGCTTTCCAATAATATGATAGAACAGAGTCACTCAATGGCTTGTTTGAAATAATCTTGTATATTGCTTTTCAGTGCAATCTCCGTGACAAGTCTATGAGCTCTGACAAGAATCGCCCATCAAGCTTTGTTTACAGAATTCTAGAGTTTCTGCACCTGGCACTTTAAACCTATTCCGGAAAGATTAGCATTAAAAAGAGGCCAAGTACCTTGCATCAGAATAAGAAAGATAGATAAAGGAATCAGAAAGACTCCCTTTATCACAGACTCAAATGTACAAAAGTATAAACCTTTCTTTTGGGCCTCTTGCTTGAGAAGGGCCGGGCCACTTGGGGACTCAGTTCCCTGAAATTCACTTCACAACACTCATCCAGACACTCAGAAGCCACTGTAGCCATGGTCTAAAGGGAGCCCCCTCCTGCTCAAATTGGCAGCAGATCTTGGCATCTTCCACATGGTGCTAGGTTTTCAGGTATGCAGAATGCAAGAGTTGCAGAGTCATGGAGGCTTCCATCCAGATATCATAAGAAGGACTGGCAGGTCAGAAAATGTGTTGCTGAGAGGGCAATGTGTGAAGCTGTGAGAATAAAACCAAAAGTTGCAGCGGAGAACCCAGGAAGCTGGAATGTCAAGAATAGGAAACTTCTGCCAAGGAAAGCTGTGGCAGTGAGCAGAGGCAGTCCAAGAGAGAAGCCATGTGGGTTGCAGCCACAAAAATCACAGAAACAGAACTTCCCAAGCATTTTGGACTCCACATCTCACCACAACTTGCCCTAGGTGCTGAAGATGAAGCTATAAGATTTAATGTTTGCCCTGTGAAGTTTCCATTTTGCTTTGGTCCCATTCCTTTCTATCCCTTTATTTCTCTATTTTAGAATGAAAATATTTACCCTGTGCCATTCTATGTTGGAAGTATTTAACTTTCTTTTGGACTCACAGCTAAGAATTTGTCTTCAGTCTCAGAGGAGACTAGAGTGAATCATTCAGCAATGCTGGAACAGTTAAGACTTTGGTCACTCTTTGAGATGGACTAAATGCATTTTGCATAAATGAGATGGAAATGAGTTTTTGTGGGGCTAAGGGTGGAATATTATAGCTTTGATCTAAAATGTCCCCCACAGAAGTCTCATGCTGGAATGTTATTATGGCTATATCTAGGTGCTCCATCCAAAGCCTCATAGGTGGGGCTTTAGGGAGTGACTGGATTGTGAGTGTGTGATACTGGATTATACCACTGATTTGTTTAGTATAGTTTTAGGTATGGGTGATGCACTTACTGAATAGGGAAGACTCACCTGGGGTGTGGGTGGCACCAACTAATAGAATTGTAGCCTGGATGGAATAAGGAAAGATGAAAGAAGGTTCAACACTTCCTGCCTATCATGCCATGAACTGTCTCCTCTGCTATGCTGCCTTGCCTTGGAGCTAGCTGACAGTGCATTGTAACCTACAAACTGTGAGCTAAAATAACCTCTCCTTTAACTTTTGGATGTTAGGTATTTTGTCTCAGCAATGAGAAAGTAACTAAGACAGAGGTGGAGCCTACTTGGAGGTGGGCAGTTCACTGGTGTTGTAACCAGGAAAGGTGTATTCTTATACCCAATTCTTTTTTCTTTCTCTGCTTCCTGGCTGCCATGAGGTAAGCAGCTGTCCTCTGCCATGCCCTTCTTCCATGCCATTTCTGTCTTGGAGCCACCTAGCCATGGACTGGACCCACTGAAATTGTGAGCCAAAATAAACCTCTCCTCATATAAGTTGCAGATATTTTGTCTCAGCAACAGTAAAGCTGAATAATACAATGCTCATCGCCTAGGTATGTTCAACTAAATGTCAGTGATTCCCTCACAGTGGATATTTCAATCAATAGGCCTTTATTTTCTTTTCTTTTTTGAGTCACACATTTTTACTAGGCCCTCTCATTTATTTATCTATTTATTTATGGTACTGGGGACCAAACTCACGACCTTGCACTTGCAAAGCAGGGGTGGAAACACTGAGCTAAATCCCTGGCCCTGGCCCTCTTATTTATTAAAAACTGTGCCAGATGTTTTAGGAGATAGAGGTGATCATACCACAGTGCCCTCTTTGAGGAAGCTCACACCCTCTTAAAGGAGGTAGGATAACAGCAAGTGTTTGTGGTTAGGCAGTTTCTTGGCTAAGTACTTCACATACCTAAACCTTTGAATAGCTCTACAAGGTAGGAAATATTATTCTCATTTTGCTGCTGAAGAAATTGAGGCCCAGAGGATCAACTAACTTGCTTAAAGTCACAGAATTTCTAAGGACACAGCAGGGATTTGTACCCAAATCTGGCTCTAGAGCCAGGCTACTCTTTACCTGTCATTCAAAACCCTTACATATGAATGACCCTTACACATGTACTGTGTGCTGTAATGCAGACAGACATACATGTATACACACATATACACATATGTCCTGTGAGGACATGGGAAAGGGGACATTAATGTTGCTTGCAGTTGGGGTTAAAGGAGAGGTCTAGTGAGGTTTCTTGGAAGAGAAATTGGGGTCTGAACTGGTCTTTAAAAAATTCAGTGCTGCTGTGGCATAGCCAGAAGTTTTGTTTATTGTTAGCTTTGTTCTTGCTTTATATCTTTAGACTCGTATTTGGGATTAAAGATCAGCCCCATTAATATTTGGTTCCTGGCTCCTGGCCTCTGGGAACATGAGTGTACATGCTGCTTGCATACCCCTTGCACAGGATGAGTTCTGCACTGTCGGCTGGCTCATGTAACACCTAGGGAGCATCGTTCTTGTTCCAGCCACCTGTGGGATCCATAAATAATTAGATGGAAGGAACTTTAGGCCTCAGGGATTTGGTGATGGGTTTAAGGAAGCCCATGGCTATAAGTGGCAGAAGCTATAGAGCACTGCACCTTGATTTTGTGCAAAAATGACTCAAATAAATAGAGGTACATTCTGGAGTTATTCCTGTTCCACTGAGCCCATGAGAGAAAAATTCTTTGCATGCACTCTCTGTGCCCTTCCTTTTTTCCCTGATAACTTTTCTCTATTCTTTAAGACTTAGAATCCCGTGGAAGTATTTTGTAACATTACCCCTAAAACACTAACCTGCTGTCTGACTTGGAATAAGGAAAGATGAAAGGACTTCCTTGGATGACATGTCTATGTCCTTGACAACAGGACACATCTTATTTAGCTCTGTATCTTTAAAGTCCAGCGGGTGGCCCAGCACAGTCAAAGCGATGGCGCTAGACTGGATGGAGACAGGGCCCTTTTGTTATGAGGAAATGATCTCAGAGGGCAGGGGCATAAGAAATATGGATCTCAGAGTGGCACTTTTATTGTAGATCAGAACTACTCAAGATAGGTCTATGCCCTTGTCACAAGTACCTGCTTACCTGAGTGCGTACAGGACGGTGCCATTGGAGAAGAGGCGGATGAGCCTATTTCCCACCGTTACTTCATGGAGGAAGGACTTCTTCGACTCCACGATGTAAGTGTCTGGCACCCACAGGAACTCCACAAGGCGTGCATCCAGAGTGAAGCTCTTGTTGCCTTCAAATACCAGCCGCTGATCTGTCCAGCGTTGCCGGAGGTATATGGTGGCAGTGTAGTCCTAAGGGGAAGGCAGGGAATGGAAATGAATGATTGTGGGGGTACTCCATAAATGGAAGGGAAAGGCTCATATTTTACTTCCCTCCCCATTTCCACTTAGGTTGGGAGTACACAGACACAGGTGATTGTAGACATAGGCAAAGTTACGTCTTATGGTAGTTGCCTATAGCAAGAAGGGAACAGACTACTTTATTTATTGTCAATAATAATTCGCATTTCCCAAAAGGAGATCCATGTTCAGGGCCTTGACCTACATGGCATGCATGCTCATTGTGCCTGAGCTCACAAAGGCCATAGCAAATTGCTGAGGTTCATGCTTAGTGAGGTGCTCATTTGCCCAGGATTTACTGGCAGTGCACAGCAGGCCTTCTTTACCAATGACCTTTAGTGTGACCTTATCTTCTATATGTTCTCTTATGAGAGAGGACCCCTAAGACAGTCTTTAGATTGTAGCTTTCATTGGTTTATCTCCCCCTCTATGCTGTCCCTCCTTCAAAGGACCGTTTGAGAGACAGGCTTACTAATGACACCTTTATTCTTTTTCCCAGATTTTTTGGGGGAGTGGTTTTTTGAGACAGGGTCTCACTATGTAGTTGAGACTGACCTGGAACTCACTATGTAGCCCAGGCTGGTCTTGAACTCACAGTGATCCTCCTGCCTCAGCCTCCCACGCGCTGGGATTACAGGCATGCGCCACCATGCCAGGCCTTTTTCCTAGATTTAATTCCTCATTAAATGTCCCTACTTCATTCTCTGGTTTCTCTCCTCCTGGCCTCTGAGTTCATTTTCTTCCCAGTTTTCTTTCTTGCAGAAAACCTATTCTGTAAGAATCTTCCACTGTCTTGATTTTGGGGACAGGGCACCAGCTTCTGTTATTTCAATTGGAGGAGGTCTGTGAGTCTTTTCTGTTTTGAGGTAACTAGAAAGGATGTACCCATTAAACACAAGGAGAGACAAAAGGACAACACATACCATGTTACTCTCTGAAATACTAGAAATACTTGCAATGTCCAGAGTCAGTGCTATCTGAACCGGTTCTCCTAAGAATGAAGAGAAACCAGAGAGACTTAACCTAGAAACACAAACATGTCTTTCTCTTTCCATCCGTCCATTTTAATCCTCTGCTTCCCCCTTAGGCCCACATAACCACCACAGACATTAGTACATTGGGAAAACAAATCTATTAAATATTACAAAAGTAAAGGCCAGGCACAGTGGTGCACACCTGTAATCCCAGCATTCTGGAAGACTGAAGCAGGAGGATTTCAAGTTTGAGCTCAGCCCAGGCAATTTAGTGACTCAGTAAGATCTTATTTCAAAATAAAAAATCAAAAGGGGCTAGGGATATGGCTCAGTGTGAAAGCCCTGAGTTCAATCTCTAGTAATGAGAAAGTTTTCAAAAGTAATTCTTGCTTATTAGGAAATTTAAAACAATCCAAAAGCATAAAAAGTAAGAGGTTAATTTCTAATTTCTCCCTCTTAGGAGCAACCACTGTATAAGTATGCCTCCTTTTTGCAAGGCACCTATGCTCACCTCTATACCACCAATGCAAGTATGCCTCTGTTTTGAATGAAAAGTATGCACAATTATATAGTTGTCATAATATATATGATAGATTACACCATTATTAATTAGTGCATATTTTCCAAAATGTATTGGTAAAGTATTTGCTGCTTTTTACATGGAGATATTTCTTGTGATGCTTGCAAGGGACTAATAAAGAATGTGACCAAGACATGGTAATATGACTGTGGAAAGATGGTTTTCCCCCTTCCCTAGACTAAGTGAATTTACTTAGAGGATATTCAAGACTGCTCATGGCTGAGCTCTCCCTCCTGATGCTCTCTTCCTTTTCCTTTTCTGCAGGAATACTAAACTATTTAGAATTCCAGAACCTTCTGTGCATAGACCCTTAGGCCTCAACACTAGAGTCTTGACAAATGAATCAAACTCCACAGAGCCAGTTTTTGCTCTGGAGATGGAAATATGAAAGCCACCATTCTCAGATGCCAAGCAAGGCCAGTCCAAGACCATTTTTCCTGTAGGCCAGAGATGTGGATGAAAGGCCACAGAGTGAGAATCATGTGAGTTTAGACCTCAGCTGTGCCTCACCCGAGCTCTGTGATGTGGGAAAAGTCATGGAAGCTCCCAGAGCAGTTTTCTCACCTTCAAGTGGGAATGATAGTGAAGACGTCATGGGGTCAAGGAGAGGGTTAAATGAGGCTAGGTGAGTGACATTATCTTTGCAGAGTGGCAGCAAGAGGGAATGTATCTGAAGCGCCTTCCTGAAAGTGCTCAGAAATGCTACCTGTACATGGCTTCTGATATCCTGTCATTGGCGGCATTTCCCTTTCTTTCTCCCTCTCTTTCCTAAACCTAGCTAATGCTGGAGAAGAAACAACTCTGCTGGCCCTATTAGTGATAAATAGCTAGCAGTGCCTCGAGGGACTGTGGCAATGTATTAACTAGGAAAGAGGGGAGGTGGGCCACCAGAAGAGGCTTGGAAAGATCAAATTGTTAGGAATCAGGCAAAGCAATTTAATTATCCATCTAAGGAAACTGGCCATAGAATGTAAGTAGATATTTGGAAATGAAGTTGTAGAGCCAATATAACCATACAGGATATTTGGGTGTTAGTCTTTGGTGGGAAAGGGGGAGATCCTCAAGGGCAGGTCAACTCTGCACAGGTTGAAAGGCTTTCTGTCCCTCTGAGCAACAGAATGCAGTATCACAAATGGTGTCAGAGACAGGTGTTTGAATCCCTTGCTGGCTACATAACAGCCTTGGGACCTTGAACTGATTGCTAAACCTCTCTGTGCTAGATTTTTTATCTGTGCTGGTATGATTTGAATGTTTGTTCTCGCACAAACTTGGGTTGAAATTTAGTTGCCATTACAACAGTACTAAGAAGCAGGATCCTCATGGGCAGGGCTGGTGCCATTGCTTGTTCTCTCTGGCTCTCTTCCTCACTGCCATCTGATGGTGCAGCAAGAGGGCTGTTGCCATTTGCTGGCATCTCGACATCAGACTTCTCAGCTTCGAGAACTATGAACCAATGCATGTTGGTTCATTATCAATTTCCCTAGCTCCATTATTACTGTTTTAGATGTATAAAACAGACTCAGATAAGAGCCTGCCATGGAGGCCTGATTTGGGAAGATATGGCATCTGTTTTAAGTGTCTCCTCTCCTTTTGACTGAGGACCCCATTCCCCATTTTGCCCTGGGTGGGACTGAGCCTCACTTACCCGTAGGTCCACTCCAGGCTCTCTGATCTCAGCATGCCCCCACTGCCCAAGGACCCTATGTCTTGTTGGCCAAAGAGTAAACAAACAAACAAGGCAGTGTCCAGACTTAATTGTTTGAGGCTTGGGTGGCCAAAGCAATTGTAGAGTGGACCTAACTAAGGAATTCACAGCTTGCCATTAATGTTGAGCAGGGCCAGGGAAACCCAGGGGATGTGAAAGTTCTCTGGATTCCTTGACCTAAGAACTCAAATCCTAATTCTGTGGCCATGTAGCTCGCAGATCTCCAGGTAATATAACCACTCTGGAATCTATTAGCACCCTTGTTCTGAGGCCATGCTGCCCCTGGGCTGTAGCCAACCTATGTCCTGAGCACAGCAGGGACACTAAGGCAATCCTATTCCCAGAGACAGAGATGAGAATTCTCTAATGGGCAGCTTTGGCTCAAGGCCTCCCTGATGACCTTTCCAAGAACACTTTCATAGAGCTGCATTGGTGTATAAGACACTTCCACCCAGCCTTCCTTTCTTCCCCCTCCTTTCCTCCAGGTCAGACATAAACTGTGGTCTGAGAGTTTCCCAGTTACCTGTCCTCCCTCACTCTTGATATCATAACCCAGTGAATATCTTGAACAGGTAGCCTGCTCCTAGCATCTGCCCTTTGGTGGCCCTGAACACTAATCCTAGATCTGAGGGGAGAATTTTCTCATCTCTAGGGAGGAGCAGGAAGGGAAAGGGATTAAAGTAGAAGGCCCCCTGTTGGCATGGCAGGCACTGTGCTTTGTGCCTACACACTTCACACCATTCAGTCTTTCCTGTGAGGAAGATGGGATGTTCTTATTTTACAGAAAAGGAAATGGAGGCTCAGAAAGCCTAAGGCACTTGCCAGGCAGTTGAACCTGGAGCCAAACTCAGGTTTGTTCAACTCCAAAGTTATATTACTTTCTGTTATGAAGAGGTATATAGCTGGTCTCATTCTCTCCTTGCCTCATTCTTTAAACAAATATTAGTTAACATCTTGCTATATCAAGCAAGAAGCTTCTGGTGGGATGAGTGAGCTAAATGAAACAAGATTCCCACAAACGGCTCCTGCCCAGAGCAAAGATTATCATAAAACTGAGTAGAGTGTCAAAGATTTAGCTTAGTGGTGCCTCTGCCTGCCTCGCAAGCTCAAGGTCCCGAGTTTGATCCCAGTACCCAAAAACAAAAAACAAAATGAGTACAGTGATTTGGAGGTGTGTTCAAAGGTGTGAAGAAAGTGGGTGGGCCCTGGAGAAATCAGGGAGAACTTCTTAGAGGAAGTTCTGGCCATTTTCCCAGGAACTTGAGCTGAAAACACAGTCAAACAAGCCTCTACAAGGGCATGAAGAGCAGGGAGGCTGAGAATGCCAGGGACCACTCAAGGAATACTGTGGACCATCAGAAAAAGGTGCAGAGCAGGGGATCTGGGGAGGAGAACAATGGCAGACAGAGGCTGGGCTGGGAAGTGCCTGGCATGCCTGGACACTAGGCAGGGATGCTGGGGCACATGCAAGTTTTCCGAGCAGGCCAAAGGCCAGGTGGCAGTAAGGGGCGGGGGTGTTAGCTGGGAGGCAGCAGACCAGAGGCAGGAAGACCAGGCAGGGTACTGCCGGTGGTGTGCAACTAGTTTTATGAAAAATGACTCTCGCAGTGGGGGCAGAGGAAGACTGAGGAATTGTTTGAAGCTTGTGCAACCTCCTTAAGGGGGAAGAGTGTGCTTTTATCTTGCAAGTGGATGGGCATAGTGCTTTCTTCAAAGTAGCATGAAAAATCATTGGCACTAGTTTATCATCACCAGTCCTTAAAAGTGGCTGTATTGGAACATGAAATCAGCCAAAACCTCCTGAAGTCTCTGAAACTTCTGCTATATTTTTGTCTCTGTCCCTGTCCTTTTGAATTGATGTAGTGGTCACAAAGGATAACCTACCACCAAAATTGGGTCTAAGGAATTTGTTATATCCTTCTGTGAGGTTCTCAAAGCCAGGTAGGGAAAGCTTGTCATTTCTGCTGGCCTCAATATTTAACTTGTTCCCTTGGATACACATTCTGGAAAAGAAAATGGTTTTGGTCACATTTATGTATGAGTAAATACAGATAGATATAAACTTGAACTTGTTTTTGCATGGTTTTTTTTGTTTTTTGTTTTTTGTTTTTTTTTGCCTCTGTACCAACATTGACTTTCCTAAGGGAAAGTCTTAATTTTCAGCTGGTGAGTTAGCATCTCTGTGCATTATCCATTTGTTATAAATCAAAATGCCATAATAAATCGGAGAAGCTTACATTTGTCTTCTTAAAAGACACAAGAGATTAATCCAGTTACAATTTTGGGACTGTTTGCTCTGTACATGGAATACATGTTCAGGGCTTAGGGAAGTGAAGGGACTGGGTTAGAAGGAAATGCTGCCACCCTTCTTACCCCATGGCTATACATGAAGAAGTTTGACCAAGGTCATTTTGAAGTAGGAAAGCTCACCTTTGTGTGAAGAGACTCAGACACATGAAGGTGAAGTGGAGACTGTAGCTCATGTTGAGAAGCTGTTCACAAAGAGAGGTTCATGTAGGAACAACCTGGGAGACGATGGGGCACAGTGTCAGGAGAGAATCTACGGCCTCGCCTACTGCCAGCCTGACCACTGTCTCCTGGGGTCACCAAGAGCAACATTTTCCCAACATACACAGGGAATACTCTCTTTCCATACTTTTTAGTACAACCTCTGCTCCCTGCCTGTCATTCTGGAATGCAGTACATCATTATGGAGGGATGGCTTTATTTAAGTTCACCCCAAATAAAGGCTGAGACTTTAGGCAGTGGGGCACTGTTACCATGAAATGTAGCCTGGCCTGCATATTTGGGAACACCAAATATGTTCTTATATGCACCTTGTTCTGACACCCCTAACTCTATGTTCACCTGGCCCCACAAAACATTCTCTTACTGATCCCAGGGTTAAGACCTGGGAGACAGGTTGTACTCTCACTTTATCCTCATAGCTCCCTCATGTGGTGAGCAAGTTAGTCCTGTCTTAGGTAGAGGAAATAGGATCATGGAAAGGATACTATACTAGTTATTCACTGGAATAGCAGAGACAACTTTGAGTCCGGGGAAGGCTGCCTATTCTTGCAGGTACTCTCTTCTTTCAGTACTGGCTTCAGGACTATGCCTTTGTTGTCTTGAAGACATTCATTGCTCTCATGATCTTTCTGACCTGATTCTGGGAGCTCTGCAGCCGTGTGTTTGGTGTATACCAGTGTGTATGTGGGGATAGGCATGGCCTCCTTAGATGTGAGAGCTACCACCAAATATCTCCTTGAGAGAGCAGGAGGCAGCTAAGCAGGCCAGCCTCTGGCCCATTTTACTGTGGCAACAGAATAGGGGTTCTCAGTCTCAGATGCCCTTCCTAGACAGATCCTAACAGGGCCATCCCTTTCTCACTGGTAACTTCAGGAAACCAGGCCATTTTCTAGAATCTAACCATTCTGGAGCTTTGGTCAGATCCAGCCATTCATTAAGTAATATTATGCTACTTACAAAACCAACACCTGCCTACAGTAGAAATGAAAACAAGACAGAAATGAATAAATTTAAGTGCAAATCCCAATGATATGTCAGTGTAAGTTCATGGATTAGAACAAATGGAGCATTGTGATATGGAATGCTAATGGTGAAAGCAATAGTCTGTGTGGGTGGACAGGGAGCTCAGTTATACTGGGAATCCAAAATTGCTTTAGAAAAATAAAGTCTACTTAAAAAGACAAAAAACAAAGCAAAGGTAAGCCCCTCCCATTTCTCCTCTCTAATCTCATAGTTCGAAGAGATCCATCAATTATTTTATTTATAAGAAAAGGGAAAAATGGAAACAAAGTCTTTGTAAATAAGGAGGGGTGGAGGGGTTGAAGGGAGGGCAGGGGTGTAGGGAAAAAATAAAAATGAAGATACATCATGTAAAGGTACAAGATCCCAATGATGAATGTAGCTGTACTGTATACCTAAAAAGTACCAATAAACTTAATGAAAAAAATTTACTTTATCCACATATATATATTTATATGTATACATATTTTTACATGAAGAAAAAAACTGAAAAGCAAAATTAGGGTGATGGTATGTTCTTTTCCACTTAAAATATACTTATTGAATAGTTAATGTATATTTACCTGTGCTAAGCATTTCTAAATTCTTCACCCTTCTTTAAAATTATTACTATTATTCTCACTTTTCAAAGGAGAAAACCAAGGCTCTGAAAGGACAGGACAGATTCCCAAAGTTATCTAGCAAGGGCAGGGCAAAATTGAATCCAAGCATGCTGACCCTAGTCATTGGTCACTGCACCACAGAATGTGATTTGATTTTTCTAAAAAATTAGCAACACCTTTCTAAGTCAGCTCTTATAGATCTGCTTCATTATTTCCATTGGCTGTCAGATATCTCAAATTTAAACATGATATTATTTGCCTACATGCAGTATCTTAATTATAAACACTAAATTATTTCCAAAGTTTTTACTGTTACAAAATCATTATTAACATGTTGCACATATGTAAGCTGTTATAATTCTGCCCTCTGATCTCTTTTTCCACCTCAGCCTTTTTGTTCCTGCTCATCAAAAATAACACCTAATGGCAGGGATGTAGCCAGTCATAGAGTACAAGGCCCTGAATTTTATTCTCAGTACCACAAAAAATAAAATAAAAGTTGCCTATAATTTCAGTGGGGCCAGAGAGGCCTAACTAGCCCAGCCTGAAGTTCATTTTAAAAATATCAAGATATAAAACTAGCAGCACCGACCCACCAGCAAACATGTTCATACTTTCTTCTTTAGTCCTCTCTCAGTTGCTGTCCTTTCCCTTGTCCCCAGCATCGAGTTCAAGGGTCCACGGAGTGGCTCCCATACTCTGCATAGGTTCCACAGATTGAACAGGTTCCTCGCATGAACCAGACACATGAAGCACCTCCAGAGGTCCTGCCTTGTGGGGCAGAGAGATATGCAAGTAGTGACCTGAGGTGCTCTATACCATATTCCCACTCTATACTAGAAGCAGAGGCAGGCGCATACTTAGGAAATGAGTGATCCACTCCACTGGGGGAGAAAGGGACAGTGCTAGGAGACAGTCATTAGACTCTTGGGGTGTGTTGCATTTGCCAGCTGGACATAGGACTTGGGGGCCATCTAAATGTAAGACAAAGAATGGATGTCATCTACACCACCCTCTAGCCCACTCACACTCAGCCTCTTCCCCTAGCTTTTGGTATTTGCAACTTCTTCCTAGTCCTGAATTGGCTCACTTCTTATTAAGGGATATGCCTCTGTTCCTCTACATTCTATAGAAAACTGCCTTTGATTAAGTAAGTTGGAGAACCATCTAGTTTTTTGGCTCCACGCATCCTATTGAATAGAGCATTCCTAGTGGCTTAAGAAGAGAAAATGTTTGGGCCACTCATTATCCTCCAAAGAGCTTCAAGCTCTGAGGAGCTTTGCCCGAGATAGAAGAAAAAATGTGATTCTCTTCCTGCCCTGTTAGGCTGCCAAGTTTGTCTTACTTTATTATAGAGGAAAAGAGAGGTGAGAAGCCTTCTGCATGCCTGCTAGATGCTAGGCCATCTAGCAGATTTCATGGCCATCTGGTCCATGGGTGGAATCTCAGATTTGTAAGGGGATTCAGCTGAGGCCACACACTTGTTAAGTGGACATGACTTGAATCTACGTTTCCCAGGTCCCTATGCTTTGTACTGCCTCTGGGAGGACATCCTTAGCTCCCTAAACTAAATTACACTTTGTTCTGTTCCTTGCACCAAACCTGTTTCTGGAATGGAGTGCTGTATGTCCGAAGTAGCAATTGTGGGCTGATGCCATTTTAACTTGTAGCCAAGGAGCCAATCATTACGTGGTGATTTATGTATCAGCCTGTCTGAGTGGAGGCTCTCGTCACCAGCTTTGATAGATGTTGACAATGGCATTTAGCAGAGAGGTGCACTCAGCCACAAGAGGGCAGTGTCCCAAAGGTTATTGATGCGGCAGCAACTCTGAGGTTCTGCCTGGAATCATCCCACCCTCTGCACCTGCTGAGCGCAGTGTCCACACAGCTTCCAGGAGGCTCCTGGAAGGGGCTTTCTGGCTAAAGTATTTTCTGTGCTTGGGTTTTGGATTCAGACAGGAATCATGTATAGCCTTTTAGAGCCTTATTTTCCCATCTGACAAGTGGGAGTAAAAAAAACAAAACAAAACAAAAACCAATTTTCATTTTCTTCTCTCTTCCATGTCTTCCACAGGGATTTAACTAATCCCGCTCTGACCGAGAAAGCCCTAAGATCAGGTTCTTTCTAATACACCTCATCGTGTCAACCCAGAGTGTGAGCTAACCAGCACCACCTCAGGAAAGACAGGGTCAGACACAGGACAGCAAGGTCACCCAGGATCACCTGGGCTAGTAGCACTTTTCTCCTAGACTGGCTCTAAGAAACAGAGGTAACTCCAATATGTGCAGTTTCCACTCCTGCTCGAGACTCATCATTTCATATATATTGGGAAGCCCAAACCCATCACACCCCAGCCTCCTTCCTCCTTGGGCAGTTTCCCGGTCCTTAGTCATTTCAGCAGAGACAGAAGCCACTGGGGGAAGTTCAAGTGGAGCCTGAATTAGGCTGAGTGAGGAGAGGACTTGGTGGCATGGTTCCTCCCCAAGAAAATCACGGAAGGTAAAGTGGTGCGGGGTGAGACCCATGTCTGCTGGTTTGGCTGGCTGGCCGGCCAATGCAAATGCAGCTCTAGTGTCAGATGGCAAGAGCTCTAATTTTGGCTTTGCCACTTCTTTTGAGATGGTATAACTTCTCCCTGATGCTCAGTTTCCTTCATTTAAAAAGGGGATCAGTCTATAACAGGACTAGGGACAGAGTAAGGGCTCAGGAAATCCCAGGCCTGGCCCCTTTCTCATCCTCTGTCCCAGTAGGGCTTATATTTGAATCTCCTACCCTCCCCCCTCCGCGTACCATGAGGGGCCAGTATTTCCCTTACCAGGCAGCTGTTCAGGCTTTATTAGGGCAGGTGCTTGGGCCCTCCAGGCAGGACTTTCAGTCAGGGCATACTCTTCTGGGTCCCCAGGATCCTTTCCATCTCAGCTCTGACCCCTTGGATGTGAGCATGCAGCCATTCTGTAGTGGAGTGGCTCACTCTTTGGCTCTTTGGGAAGACAGAGCTGCTGAACCAGCTGGGCAGAAACAGGTGGGTGGAGCCTCATGCAGATCCTCCCTCAGTAGAGCTCTGCTTGGTCCTGGGTGTCTGTGGGAATTATCCAGTTCCTGCTGTGGCAACTGGCTGCCAAGGGTTTGATTCTTAGTTCACATCTCATCCCTGGTCCTGGACCCTAGCCAGGAAAGACTCCTGAGATCTAAGACCTGTGAGAGCCAAGCAAAGTGGGTGACCTCACCCACCATGCCAGGTTCTTTCTGCTTTTGGACAACACCCCTCCATCCTGGTGCAACGGAATGGGAGTTAGCAGTTTGACCTTGGGCAAGTCATTTCACCTCTTTAGTCCTCAGCTTCCCATGCATAAAACAAGAACTTAAAAACATAAAATATTTAAAAACTCTGGTCCCTGCATATACGTTTAAAGATGTTTTTGTGGATCAACAGTAAGCCTGATCTATGTGAAACAAGACTTTCTGATCCCAGCACCTAGTGATTTCCAGACTGATGAGCTTCAGAGACATAGAGGCAGATAGGGGACAGAGTCTCAGCAGACCACTCCAGAAGAGGTGGGAGAGACTCTGGAAGAAATTCGACTAGATTTCTCCGAATTTCTTCCCTTTTTTTGCATCCCAAACCTCTCACAGAGGTCTTAAACTCACCACAAAGTCCCTTTAGGAACATTCCAGATAAAGGGATCTTTGTCCTTTGTGACCAGCTGAACTTCCTAACAGAAGTGCTTCAGTAGTGTTCCCCTTGCTCTGTGTCTTTCCCCATCATCATAGCCAAGTAGCCCTGAAAGTCACTATTGGCTGTAGCCTCTGGGTAGAATTCCCTGACACTTGCCCTTAAACCAAGAGAGCTGGGGATCAGGAAGGGAATCAACTGGAAGGGCAGGGAGAGAGCTCAAATGTGGCATGATATCCAGAGGTGCCTCTTTTCTTCACAATATTAGAGCTAACCTTCTGCACAGACCGTGCTGGCCCTGGAGGTGGGGAGGTGGGAGACAGGGTTAAAGGTAGGAGATGCCCAGATGGAGCTGCATGCAATTAAAGGAGTGGGCAGGAGGGGAGGACCTCGGTTTACAATGCACCATAGATGGCTTTGGCCCCAAACCAGCTTCCTTAGTGTGGCTCTGGAGCCTGGCCAACATTGAAAATATTTGTGTGCTGGCCAGTAGGGAGTGAGCACCTGAAGAGAAAGCTCTTTCATTCTTCCTGATAGGCTTCACTTTCACCTGGGAATCTTGAAGGCAGCCAGAACAGGAATGGCTGAGGAGCTAGTTTCAGTTCTTAATGAATAAAGGGTAGTTTGGGGCTATTCTCCAAATTTCCAAGGCTCCAGGATAACAAGACAACTCAGAGCTGAGAGGCTGGGGGATGGGGGGTGTCCTCTGACTCCAGAATAGTGGAGACTTAGATGAAGGTACAAGGGCTGGCTTGCTGGCTGACTCTGGGAAAGTTGCTCATCTCTGGATCTGTACCTTACCTGACACATGGCAATGAGGATTCCTCAGTGTTGCTGTAAAAATTCAGTAGTGACAAGTATGGTTCTGTATCTGAAACTATCTGGCACATTGTACCTGGCACATTGTAGCTGCTTAGTCGCTCTTTTCCCATGGTGTTGTTAATTTCTTCACATACTTGCACTTACCTATTTAACCCCACACCTATATATGTATCTATGTATGCGTGTTTCTGTGTAAGTATGGGATATATATATATATGTATATATGTATATATATGTAAGATTATAATTAATCTCTGATTTATTGAGCTATCACCTATCTAATATTTAAATATTCTAATTAGATTGTTGGTACTTTCACTGCCTGGGGCTTGTATTGTGTCTTTATGTAGACAATCAGTGAACATGTTATTGGACTGATTGTACCTGGGGGGCCAAACAGGCCAGATTTAAAGGTAATAAAGTAGGTATGATAAGAGGCTTTATCTTCAGTTTCCAACAATGCTTTCCTCTAATGCCAGGTTTATTTAGATTTCTTTTGGATGAGTTGAAGAAATTCCCAGATTGAAGTTTCCAGGGAAATGATGGTCTTCTCAGTTTGTCCCAGGTAGCCTTGTTCCTTGGCTCCAGAACTCTGGCAGCCTCCCCACCATCAAAGCCATTTAGTTTCTACTCTGACCTCTAGTCTCAGGTTACTGAGGTCAGTGGTATTTCAGGATGGTGAGCTATGCACATAGCTGCCCACGGGTTACTCATCCCAGTACCCACCTCCTACGCCACACGGCCACACACCCTCTGAGAGTGTGTCCCAGAAAAACAAAGGACAGAGTGAGTCAGTGTGTCTTGGCTTGTTCCTTCATCATGATGCACACAGAATACTAAAAAGCCATGGCAATGTTGTACATTTATATAATACTGTACACTTTCCAGAGCTTTTTACTGTACATGTGCCTTATCTTTTTTGAATAATATTATAATTCTGTGATGCAAACAGGGCTGGTTTTTTTAGTTTTCATTTCTCAGATGAAGAAGGGTCTCCAGTGTCACCCAGCTACTACTCAGAAGTAGGGCCAGCACAGGCTGCAACCCAGGTCTTAGAATTCTGAGTTTTCTGTGTTGTTAGTGTACCCATTGCTCTTATTAGACCTTATTGGGTTCCTAAGGTAAAACTTAAACCCTCCAGCTTCAGTTGCTTAGTTGACTTCTTGAAAAATCACCAATTTTGGAAGTCACAGCTGGGGAATATATTGTTAGTCTTCCACTAGCTTTGTTGAGGTGACATGTCTGACTCAAGCCAATTACCAGGTTAAAACTGTTCTCTAGTAGATGAAAACAATAGATATTCCACCTCACTCCAGAGTCAATGGCTGCTATCAAGAAATCAACCAATAGCTAATGCTGGAGGGGTTGTGAGGAGAAAGGAACCCTTCTCCATTGTTGGTGGGAGTGCAGACTAGTGTAACCACTGTGGAAATTAATATGGAGATACCTCAAAGAACCAGGGTTAGAGGCCCCATTTGACCCAGCTTTTCCTCTGCTGGGTATCTTCCCAAAAGGATTAAAAGACTCATACCACAGCGATATATGCTCACCCATGTTTATAGCAGCACAGTTTGTAACAGTTAAGGCTTGGAAACAGCCCAGTTGCCCATTAACTGGAGACTGGATAAAGAAGATGTGTGTGTGTGTGTGTGTGTGTGTGTGTGTGTGTGTGTGTGTGTGTTTTATATAAAATGGAGTACTACTCAGCCATAAAGAATGAGAAACTAGAGACATTTATAGCTAAATGGATATACATTGAGGTCATATTCTTAAGTAAAATAAATAGGACACACTTGTAAATACTGAATAGTTTCTCTGGTGTGAGAAACTGAAAGTGTAAATAAGGATCTAAATGTATAATTGATAATGTGAAATAGGAAGAAAAGGTCTAAAGGGGATAGGGGAAGTGGGAGGGGTAAAGGAAAGGAAAAAATGGAAACAAAGTCTTTGTAAATAGGGAGGGGTGGAGGGTTTGAAGGAAGGGCAGGGAATGGGGAAAAATAAGAACCAAGACACATCATGTAAAAGTACAAGTTTCCAATATGAATGTAAATGTATTGTATACCTAAAATGTACCAATAAACTCAATGGGGGAAAAATACCTGTTCTCTAGTAAATCCTCAACCCTCACAGAGGAGAGTTCCTTTCCTCTTTTCTCTATCTCCTCCCTGTACCCACTGCCAGACATGGTGCTGAGTGCTGGCAGAAAGATGCTATTGCTGCCCTCATTCCTGGGCCTTCCCTCCTGGCTTACAGTTTAGAGGTGAAGACAGACTATATCTAAGTAAAGCAGATATTAACCACAACTTGCAATAAGAGCTCTGAAAGAATTAAACAGGGTCTAACAACAGAAATGAAGCTTCAGAGCTGGCCAGTTCAGATGAAGAGATCTAGGCCCAGCCCCTTGAGAAGGGACAGTTAAGCTGATTCCTGGGGGACAGGAAGGAAATGGCCTAATGACCAGGAGGCAGAGGAGGCAGGGCAGGAGCTGGGTTCTTAGGGGACCATTGTGGAAGCTGCTGATTCAGGCATAAAACCTGACTGGAGGAGAAGCCAAGGGTGGCCTCCTGTCTTCTCAGGAGCTTCTCACCTAAAGTTCTCAGAAAATTGAATGTCTACCACCACAGAAGTCTTTGCTGAGCCTTGGAATCTCTCGTTTCTCCTAGGATTCTGCCAGACTCCCACAGTCTGAGATTCCCTGGAGCTCGGGGAGGTCCCTACCCACACTTTCTTCAATTAGTGCTTTGTTTCTTTTTCTCCATTAGCCTTTTTTCCTTAGCTGCCCCATCACCAGCAGCTTTAGGATCTCTGCCAGAAACCGAAAATGTTAAACATTTCAAAGATCATTCATAAGCCATAATACAATCATTGGCTCTGGGGGCCACAGGTCGGGGGAGGAGGATGGGCTGGAACGACCTGGAGGTGTGCTGAGTCCCCAGTGAGACCATCCACTCCCCTTCTGTGCACCCCAGGACGCTGCTTCTGGGGACTTTGATGCACATGGTACAATATGGCAGCAGTGGAACCTCCAAAGCGGAAGAGGGCAAACAGCCTCACCAAGTGCACAGAGTCACTTCCTGCTGTGCAGAGCTCCTGTCCAGTGCATCCAGCTTTCTCACACTCCTTCAACTCAATAAATAAGCAGTAAAACAAATAACAATGAAAAACCTTTCATAGGGTCAGGCTATCCATGTTAGTTTTACTTATTGATAGGATTCCCTGATCACTTTCAAAGAATTCCAGAGTCCAAATACTGTAACTTTCTGCCTTCCCTAAAATGTTGCCTGTGTTTCAAAACCCAGTGGGGTCTCTCATGGCTCCACTTGCCAAATGGGCCCTGCCCCCCCTGGATCCTTGGCACCTTCCTCAGGAGCGAGGAAGTATCTTTGGATGAGGGGACTGAGGATCTGTGTCACAGGGGAAGAAAGTTCTCTGTGGTGTTGCCGGTGAAGCTGGGGTGGTGGGTCTTGTTTGGGATGAGAAGTGTTA